CTGTTGTTGTTGCTGTTGTTGTTGTGGTTGTTGTTGTTGCTGTAGTTGTTGTTGTCGTCGTTTCCGGCGTTGACTGTCGTTCTAATTCTTGTTCTCGTTGTTACTGCACTGTTTCCGTGCTGAAGTGTATGGCGAGTCAGAGCAATGAAAGATTTATTTGATTCAATAAAGTCCTGCCAGATTTTCCTTCATGGAGGGGCAAAAGCTATCATTTTGAAACATTTCCACCGAATTTGACTTGCAACCTTCAGTTGATTTATGTCAAAATAGTAGCTTTTGCCCCAGCCATCTGGCAGGCACCGACTGAACTTTAAAAAAATGAATTCGATTGGCAGTGTGCTCACGGCTTTCAAGGGTCGGAAGTTGTAACGTATTGCAAAGAAAAAGAGACCGTTCAGGATGTGGGCGGACCTTAAGCGGCAGCACGAAATACATCCCAACAAAAAGACTGGAACATTCGAGGAAATAAACCATCTCCCCCCCCCCTCTCCCTCCCGCAGAGTGGAAATAAAGGATACCCGCTATGATGAGGATACCCAATCCCCCGGAGACCCCTATGTACAGAGGCAGCGCGCGCGCTCCAGGTCACCGGAAGTGACATCGTGGTGTTGGGTCTCTACTCTAGAAATGTCAAAATTCCTGGCCCGTCATGTTCCCGGGGTCCCTGGGTCGGGCAGAAGCTTCTGCTGCACTCTTGTCTTACCACAGCCCTCTCATCCTTTGTTGTTCTTACTCTTAACGCCTTTTCCTTGTGTGCCCTCACATCGCCTGTAGCGGTCCTAGGGGTCTTTGCACTTTTGACGGCCTCTTTCTGCCTTCTGATTGCTTTAGTAGAGGTTTTACGGCGCTCGCAACTGCATAACTATATATATACGGTCATATGAGCGCCAGAAGAATAGAGGTGTTACAAAAAAGTAACAAACATAAAAAAAGAAGGAGGGGAGAAAAGGACGTTAGATGTTTGATAGGAAAGAAGAAGCAAACCACACCAGAGCACCCGTCAACCACCCACTCTTTCTGCCGTTGTTCACTTCCTTCCCAAAACATGCCACTTGTTTTCCTTCTTCCCGCGGACCCCACACCCGCCCGTCCAATTTACTTTAGTTTCAGTAAGTTCTACGGCCCTTGCAACACAATAAGGATATACATGATATAAGTTCCGAAGTTTCGAGGTGGTACTAGAGAGTAACATACCAAACAAAGAAGGGGCAAACCACACCAGCAGAGCAACCGCCAGCCACCCATCCTTCTGCTCATCCAACCTAAGCTAATATTCATATTCTTGCAGATCTCCTTCGCAGTGGTCTCCCCCCC